TAATTCTTATGGAGAAATATTCATTTTGCGAAAGGAAGAATGTACGAATGAATGTTCTTAAAAAACTCTTCAATTGATGCACAAGAAAGAATCCTAATCTTGAAAGTCTAATTCTCTCTTTTCTTTCTTGTATATTCTCCTCTCTTTTCTTTCTTGTATATTCTCCTCTCTTCTCTCTCTTGTATTTTCTCCACTATGAAATAATATGCAATGAGCCCTATTTATAATAATAACATCTTAATCTATTATGCAATACAATCCTAATCAAATCTTTGGCAAGGAATATTTTATTTCTCTTACATGAAATCTAAAAAGATAAAATATATCCTAATCTTTACTTGATTCCATGTTTTTCGATCTTCCATATCTTCTCCAATCTTTATGCAATCTTCAATTATCTTGAATATTGATCACATGATATCTTGCATATCTTCTTCAATCTTCATGCAATCTTCAATTATCTTGAATACTATTTCAAATCAGAATAAATATTATTCTGAAATCTCAAACAATCAGCTCATTAGTAATTTCAAGACAATAAAAAATTATCAATTAAATTAACATTAAATTGATTGTAATCATCAAAACATATTTTAAATCAATTAAACAATTGAGGTATAGCAAATATCCAACAATCACTTGGACTTTTTCTTGAAGAAGAATGGTGGTGGCAAGTGGGGAAACCAAAGGCTCAAAAATGGAGGCACAATGGGGCACGTAGAGCAGATTAGAATCAGCCTAGGGTTGTGTGTAACTCAGTATTTGTAGTCTCATTAAGTTATAAGCGTCGATATTAGAACTAATAGCTCCGTTAATCATTTTAGTCTCAAACTTTGAATTCTGAACCTAGCCATTTTTTTAGGATTTATCATATTTTTATTATAATTTTTGCAGCACTTTGCCGGTACGTGCTTTTACGTAGCCGATATCAGTCCTGACGCTAGTTCTCATTATTTTGACTCCAAACTTGGCATACTTCATCGGTACGCACTTATACCGTGGAGCAGAACCGGTATCTGCACTTTTCGTCAGAAAAGCGACTTTTAACATTATTAATCCTTTGTGATAATTATTCTAACCTTACCATATTTATTTAAGGTCAATTATGGAATTATTTCCTAAATTCATAATTACCCATTTAAATTCCTAATTTAACGGTGCGGGTTCTTACAATATACACATATTGGATACTAGTTTATGCAAGATATTTTTTAATTGTTTTTTTTTTCATGTCTCAAATCTAAATCCAAGATTTCAAAAAGGCAAGATAGCTTCGTGCTTGAATTGAGCCAAGAAACTTCTATCTTTTCCCAAGGCTGGGCCTAGCAATGTATGTGGGCTGTAAACCATCCTTTATCACTAGTTTTATTGCCTGTAAACCTCTGGTTTGTCAAGTTGATTCAGAGATTTTTGAGCAGGGACACAGAGGGCTCAGCATGGGTAAATTTAGGGGTGAAAGTGAGCTGGGCTGGGTTAGGTCGAGCTTTGTTAGCCTGTCCTAAAAGCTCAAGCCTATGTCAAAAAATTTCAACTTGACCTGACCTGATAATATAATACGAGTCTATTTGTTAGCATGACCTGACCCATTTATAAAAAAACAAATGGCCTGCACTCGACTTGTTAGTCTGTTATAACTCCCAAGCAGAATCATTAATCAACTTTACAAAATACTCAAATTTTGTTTTTAAAACAAAAACCACAATTTCAACGTCCCAACAGATCCATGAATTACAATAACAACTTATCACAATCTGCATTTAAGTCACTTTCAAAAGCAAAATGCCCAAACTAAATAACATATATTTCATCAGACCCAGCAAACCAATCCATACTATGTAAATTAAAATAACTTTATAATCCTACAAACACATCATGATGCTTGTAGTAGCCAAAAACTTCTCATCATCTTCTCTCCCGTGCAAAAACAATTCCAAGGTTACATAAGTTCGCAAACAATTTGTAAATGTAGAAAATAAAAATCAAGATTAAAGAATAGAAAGAAAATAAGATTAAGAAACAACAAACCTTTTTATACCTTTTGTCTTTTCTTCAAGCCATACTTATTACATAGCGAATCTCTACCACATATTAAAGCCTGGATTGTATCTTTAGCCAAGCTAGAATGATAAGTATCAATAACTCTACCTCCAACACTAAATGTTGATTTTAATGCTACTGTAGAGATTGGTACAAATCTTATGCCCCTCCCAAATGTGGTATTGGTGGGATCGAACCTAGGTCCTTCCACTACCTACTTAGCTCACATGCACCAACTGAGCAATCACCATTTGGTATTACTATGAATAATATTATTTTATTTTATTTAAAATAAGTAATATAATATAGGTCGGCTTGTAGGGTTCTAATTGGGTAAAAGGGTTAAAGTCACTAAGAGATTAGGAATTTAACCAACTAATTAATTAGAAGATGAATTGTCTGAAATAATTGAGATAATTTATTATTGAGATTAATTTAAACTATACAAATAGGATCGAAGGTGAAATTTTCCATAGCTACAACTTCCATTAATGAATTCTTAATTCACGTTTTAGTTATCTGCGCTTTTGCCAGTTCTTTATTTCATTGTAATTATGGGGGGAAACAAAGGTAGAAAATGGTATAAAAAAATAGTTTATGTTGCCTTTTTAAATTTTGTGCAAATAAAAGTATTGAAAAAAAAAGAGAAAAATAAAACGAAAAAAGAGAGTGATGGGGTGGGAAAAAATGTTTCAAAAGAAAAAGGTTGTAAACTAAAATGTGTTCACACTTATGCCATGATCATTCTATGTTTCAATCCTTTAGCCACATTACTCCTTATTTATCCTTCCCTTAGACCAGTGGCGAACCCAGGAAATTTTTTTTATGTCCGCAGATATAGTGATAGGGTTCGGGGCAGCGCCCCCGAAATTTTATTTTATTTTGTAAAGAAAGTTTGAATCAACGCTTGAACCCGCTCATAATCTAGTTACTTCCATAACAAACTGACAATAGTTTGACCAATTATTTCTCCCTCTAAATATTATCAATCATCCAAAACAAATATAAGAATATACTCTAGTATATCCATACATCATCATTCTATTTTATAGTGGTGAATAAAAAAGTCAACACTACTTGTACAGAAGGCAAGCAAAATCACAGTGAAGGTCTCGTCTTTAGATATTAACTTATCTGAGAATGTCAGACCTGCAATCAATCCTCTCTTTTTATAAAAATGAAAAAGGAAACAAAGGATGAAGAGAGCATGAGAATGAGTACGTGACAGGGGAGGAAGAATAAGTTTTCTCTCTAATCAATTTGCGTTGCTACATTTTTTAATCATCTTCGTACGTTACTACGTTGCTAACTACTATAAGAATAAATATCATTTTTGGTCCCTAACAAAAAATCCGGTCCCACTTTAGTCCATTATAAAAAATATTAATCACCTTGTGCATATGAAATTCAAAGTGGACCCATTTTGATCTTTTTGAGGGACTAATGTAGGTCTTTTTTGAATTTATGAGGGACCACGATTTTAACTAAATTGATCTACTTTAAATTTTTTAGGGACCTCGAAACTAATTTTTTTTTGTAAGGGACTAAAATGGGGACCATATATTTTGTTAGAGACTTAAAAGGGTATTTACTCCTAATATATATATTGAACCAAGAGACAAATAAAGACTTGCAATAATGAAAAAAAAAGCTGAAAAAATTTCATGACCGCACTTGCGGGCATTTTCCTGCAAGTGGGTCCGTCACTGCCTTAGCCAATCCCTATTACAACTTGTATAAAGACCTCTTGATCTTCTGCGCATGTTACTTAATTGTGGAGAGTGAGAATATAACCAAGCTTATGATATTATCGATTCACTGAACATTTGAGTGAAACACTTAACCCTTAGACAAAAGAGTGAAAAGTGACTTCATAATTCTAGTGAGGGGAGTGTATAGATTCAGTTCTTCATGATCTGTTGATTGATCTCTTGTTGTAGTTTATGGTAATAAAATAAAATGCATATTCTTTATATATATATATATATAGAGAGAGAGATAAATTATTCTACCTATCTATTTTTCGTGTCTACCTTGCCTATCAATCTTCAATACCGTTATATCAGAATCTCAACTAACTGTTACCATTTATCTATCATCTAGAGATTCTGATTTTACGGTATTGGAGATTGGTAGGCAAGGTAGATATGAAAAATAGATAGGTAGAATATCTTATATATATATATATATATATATATATATATATATATATATATATATATATATATATATATATGGGAAGATTTTTTTGATTAGGATGTAAAATAAATAAAAAAAGAGTGTTTGATATGGTAGAATATCTTTTTTTTATTAATAATTTGCTAAGAAAATAAATGGAAATATGAATGTGTTTCTATTTTAAATGAATAAATGGATCTAGTATCCATTATAGGAACACTAAAAATATTGTGCTTAATCAAAGGGTTTAGTTCAAGTAGTATAAATTTATTTCGTATAAGTAAGGTCTTGAGTTTAAATTTTTGTGAATACAAAAAAAATCTTTTAAGAAAGCTAGCCCCACTATAATGTAGATGTTTCCGACGCAAATATAATTACTTCCCGTAAAGAATACTTGTAGTTTATTAAAAATAAATAAATATTCTGCGGAGATCCTTTTTCTTTATGTAACTCCTTCCATCTCAGCACAATATATTTAGCGTTCCTGTAACGGTGTTAGATCCACTTAAAATAGAAATTCAGTCATATTGCATTTATTTTCTTAGTAAATTATTCATAAAAAAAGATATTACAGCATGTCAGACACTTTTTTTTAAAAGGAATAAGATCATAAGGTGACACACCTATAAGGAAGGACTAACAATAAAGATTTGAATTTTGAATCTCTTTGGCAAGCTTCTCATGAGAGCTCCTTTCACATTCATGTTACTTTCCTTTTCACATTATTAAACACCATAAACATTTCGCAATCTCTCTCATTCTCTGCTTACTGCTCTGCTTTAACCATGATTAAAGGTAAAGATATATACCAAGTTTTGGCAGCTATTGTGCCCCAATATGTGGCTATTGTATTAGCTTATGGCTCAGTTCGGTGGTGGAAGATCTTCACACCTGAACAGTGCTCTGGTATAAACCGTTTTGTTTCCATGTTTGCGGTTCCTTTTCTTGTTTTTCATTTCATATCATCCAATGACCCTTATTCTATGAACTTCAAGCTCATAGCCGCAGACTCTCTTCAAAAAGTTGTGATTTTGGGGTCTCTATTTCTATGGAACACCGTAACAACAAAGTATAGTTGCCTTGACTGGACAATCACACTGTTCTCACTTTCTACTTTACCAAACACACTCATCATGGGGGTCCCTCTTTTGAAGGCCATGTATGGAGATTTTACATCCACCCTCATGATCCAAATTGTGGTTTTGCAGGGTGTCGTATGGTTCAATATTTTGCTGTTCTTGTTTGAATATAGAGGTGCTAAGCACCTTATTTCAGAGCAATTCCCTGAGACGGCAGGGTCCATCACTTCTGTCAGGGTTGATTCAGATGTTAACTCTCTCAGTGGTAGAGAACCATTGCAAGCTGATGCAGAAATTGGAGAAGATGGGAAGTTTCATGTGGTGGTGAGAAGATCAGCTTCTTCTTCATTCAATAAGTCTCTTACTGGGGTTGAAGAAGAGATGTTGAAGATGCAAAAGAAAAGGGGATGGAGGAGCAAGAGTTGTAATGATCTAAAACCAATGTTTTCAAGGTCTGTCAGTGATGGCCAAAGAAATAAAGATATCAGGGGTGGTAACCCTAATAAGGAGTTACACATGTTTGTTTGGAACTCGAGTACACCACCAGCTTCTGATGTTAATTGGAGACATGCAGTGAATGGGACCATTGATCCCTTTAAAGTTGTTGATATTGCACCCGAAATTGCTACCTCAAAAGGTAATCTCACTTTGCTTATGAAGCTTTAGCTCATATTATATATTTGTCTTTTGCCTCTGAGTCTAGGCTTAGGTGTATATATTAATATTTTGCTGAGAAATTAACATTTACATTTTCTCCTTGAAGCATTAAGCAATTGTAATCCCATTAACTTTCGTATGGAAAAACAGCATTGGCATAAATTTAAACCAAACTTTTAAATTGAGGTCATGGTCACTGTTGGCAACTACATGATGCAGCAATTTTAAACTCTCTCATTTTGTATGCTTCTGTGCATGAATTAACATGAGTTCTGGTCCTGAAGCAAGCGGAGAAAGGGTGGTTGAGATTGAGGAAGGAATCGAATATCCTTTAAGCGGGTGCAAGAGGGAGGTGAACATTGAAGAAAGGGATGCAAACAAAAAGCAACAAATGCCACATGGTAGTGTCATGACAAGGCTCATTCTCATCATGGTTTGGAGGAAGCTCATAAGAAGTCCTATTACCTACGCAAGTCTTTTGGGCCTCGCATGGTCTCTCATATCATTTAGGTATTTTTCCCAACCATCTCATATCATTTCTCAATGGAGAAACAACACAAAAGCTTTAAAATTACGATCTTAATTTTTTTGGGAGGATATATTACACTTCATCAATCGTTGCTTGTGTGCGTGCGCAGGTGGAACATCAAAATGCCATCTATTATAAATGGTTCCATTTTAATACTGTCTAATACAGGGCTGGGAATGGCCATGTTCGCTCTAGGTATTCAAATCTTCAACATTTTATTTTTCTCCTTTATGACAGAGTATCAACAAATTTGGGTCCATAATATGAAAACCATTTGTGACATCAATGTACCACATTTTGGTACAGGGAATATCATTCTATCTTTAAGTAAATCATTGTATTATAATTATTTATTTTTTATTCTAGAATTTGTTTGGGTTTAGCCTATTAGGTCATTTAATCTCTATAAATAGGGAACTCTTGTATATTTGCAATTAACAATTTTCACATAATACAATCCTACTTTTCAAGTTCTTTCTTTTCAAGTTGGTATCAGAGCTCTCGATCCTGAGGGCTCTGCTTCGGCAACTGCCGATTTAGAGCGGAATCCCATTTGTTAGCCTCTAGCGCCACAGGGAAATTTTTAATGGGACCTTTTGGACTAAGAGGACCATTGTTTGACTCTATTTTTCCAGATCTAAAAATCTACATTTCCAGGAGTGGGTCTTTGATCTCGTCATAAAAATTGGACCTTTTTGGCCACTCGCGCTTCCTATGATCAGATTTGATTTTGTTGTTGTTGTTTGGGATGTTAAAAGACCTCTACTTGTCATAAAAATTGGATCATTTTGGCCACTCATGCCTCCTTTGATCAAATCTAATTTTGTTGTTGTTGTTTGGGACGTTCAAAGGCTTCTACAACATCGTCTGGTTGTGCATTTGTGTATTTTTTGCCTCAAGCTGTAGAGTTTTTGGCCTTTCCTGGTTCCTCTTTTTTCAAATCTAATAATTTTGCTTATGTTTGGACTTAAACTTGAAGTTATTTTGTTGTTTGGGCTCTCTGGAAACTTTTTTGACTTCGTTGATAATTATCCACTTCTTTTGGGTTGTTCATTTTGATCTATTTTATTTGTCCATGATATGTTGGTGCACCTATTGTAAGAGTGTTGGACACATAAGAGACATATGTCTTCGCTTTCATGGGAAGTGTGATAATGTTACTCTATACGTGAATATTCGGCAACGGAAGTTGGAGCAACTTAAGGCCGCTATTGATACTTTGTGTAAGCCGTCTAACAATTCTTTGATCTTGTCTGGTAAGAACACATGTTCTACATCTCTTCTTGATTCTTGCACTGATTTTAAAACCTCGTGGATTTTGGATTTTGAAGCAACTGGTCATATGACTTGTCTTACTGAGTCTTTTCTTTCTTATCATCCTACTGTTGGTAGTCATACTATAGCCGTAGCTGATGGATCCCATAAATCAGTTATTGGTTCTGGTAACATTCAAATTCAACCTTCCTTGTTTCTCAAAAGTGTTTTTTATGTTCCTCGGCTTTCCACTAATCTTATCTCCACTCAAAAGCTTACAACTGAAGTCACCTTTTTCACTTCTCATTGTGTTATTCAAGATTTTACCACGAGGAAGACAATTGGAGTTGCTGAGGAGCAGAGTGAGTTGTATTATCTTCTTCCAGAACATGCTACAAATGATACCAAAAATCAGCTATTGATGACATGTCATCCTTCTATAACAGAGTCTATGATTTGACTTCATCATAAGCGTGTGGGGCACCCACCATTTAGTCTATTGAAGTCAATGTTTCATTCTTTGTTTCTAAATCAGTTAGTTGAGATCTTTCATTGCAATGTTTGTGAATTTACAAAACACCATCGAGTGCATTTTCCTTCTAATGCTATAAAAATATTGAATCTTTTGCTCTGATTCATTATGATGTTTGGGGCCGTTCTAAAGTGAATAGTATTTCAGGTGCAAAGTGATTTTTTTAATGACATTTGTACTCGGGTGACATTGATATTCTTGATGAAAGACAAGTCTGAAGTACCAGAGATATTTATCTGAATTTATCATATGGTCGAGGCTTAGTTTGGTAAGAATAATTAAGATTAAGATCTGATAATGGTACTGAGTACATCAACCAACGTCTGTCACAATTCATTTCAGACAGAGGCATGATTCATGAGCTCACATGTTTTAATACCCCTCAACAAAACAGTGTTAATGAAAGAAAAAATCGTCACCTCCTTGAATTGTTCTATCACCTTTTTCCCTTCACATGTGTTGATACCCCTCAATAAAACGTAATAGATTGATTTAAAACCCACCTCATCTTGGTACTCAAAGTTGGCCATTCAATCCAAAAAGTGAACGAAGTTAGAGAACGCATCTGATGACGAAGAAGAGGACGTCAATCCCTTGGGGATTCTAAATGAGGGACAGAATTCGGAAGTACGACCTGGAAATCAGTTCACTCTTCAAGATATCGAGATGCAGATCAATATTCCTGACTTTGAAGTCGATGATCATAATCCAGTTTATGATGATTATCTGATTGTTGATAATTATCTCATTTATGATGATTATTCATCTTATGACGAAGATTCTGTTTATGATAATAATCCAATCTATAATAAATCTGATGGTGAATCAGATTATGAAGATCTAATAGAGTAAAATTTAGCATTATTTTTGTCTAAAGAAATTGAGATTAGTGGATATAAACAAGATTCGAGGATAAATCTTTTCCTAGCAAGGGAGAATGATTCACTTATAGTTGGCCCATTGTACATGGCCTAACCATTGATTCAAGAAACTCGTAGTCAACTAGAGTTGTTGCCCAATAAGTATGACCCAATTGTTGAAAGAGTCAGTGATTTGAAATATAACAAATTACAATTGAATCCAAGTCTCAATAAAGCAGCAGATGTGATTGTGATTTGTTTGGGAAGAAAAAGAAAGCAACACACTTGGCGTGATTTGAGATTCAAGATTTGAGATGTATTTTGAATGATTTAATTGTAATTATTTATTTATTTTTAAAAGTTAATTACTTTTATATTTATTTTAGGAAGTTTGATTATTTTTAGGATTTTTTATTTTTGAATTTTGGTTCAATTTGTAATTAGTTTATAAAAGGGTGCTTATCATCCTTATTCTAGGGGTTGAATTTTGTTATTTTGATAATTAAAAAATTGAGAATCAAAGAGTTACTCTTTTGTGAAATTCCAACTTTCTATTTAGCTATTTTTCTATGCACTCTCGGCATCAGTAGTTGCTACTATTATATCCAAAATGAGCTCGTGTTCCATATGCATATGTGCATATTCAATTTAAAATGTTATTAATCTTGAAGTTTGTATTTAATATGTTGTGTCCGTGTGTTATAATTATTAATCTAGTGTATTTATGTCGTGTTGTGCGTTCATATTGCTGTCTCTTCTTCATAGCGCTTCCTTAATTAAACAGGTCTATTCATGGGATTACAACCCAAGATCATTGCTTGTGGAAAATCTTTGGCAGCGATTTCTATGGCAATTAGGTTCTTGGTTGGGCCAGCAGTGACTGCTGCAACCTCGGCAGCCATCGGTATCCGTGGAGTTCTTTTGCATGTTACAATTGTTCAGGTTAAATGAAACCCAATAAACAAAGTGTCATTATACATATTCAGAGTCATACAGTGTGTTTGTGACACCATGTTGAATTTGTAGGCTGCTCTTCCATTGGCTATCAATCCCTTTGTATTCGCCGAAGAATACAATCTCCATGCAGATGTTATCTGCACTGCGTAAGTGTGTGTGCGTGTTTTTGTTTTTGTGTGTGGATAAATTTGCATTTGTTAAAAAATAAGGAACAAATGCATTTTGTGCCATGTGAATATAACGCATCAACATAAATCCTAAAAGAGACTTTACAAATTTTGCAGGCTTATCTTTGGAATGGTGATATCGTTGCCCGTGACAGTACTCTACTTCGTTCTTCTTGGGCTCTAACTTGTCCAGTATGCAAATCCATAAGGCACCGCTAAAGAAGACAACGTAGGGATTTAATTGCAATTTACAACTAAAATATTGTTGTTATAAATTTTAACCGTGTGCATACATACATTTAAGATAAGCTTATTTTGAGTTACTCAAAAATTATCTCGTTTTGGGTTAAAAAAAAAAAAAATTATTCTAAAATTAAAATCTGAAACAAAACGGCAGCTATCCCTAATTCTTCTCTTTTGGCTGGTTTCTCTTCCCCTATTTGTCGATTTCCCACTTCGTTCTTCTCCTTTGCCGCCGCTGGTTCTTCTCCTACAATACACACTCTTGTTCAACACTTGAGTTATTTCTCAAGTCATGCCACACTGCATTTTCCCAAAAACTAAACTTTCTATGCTGTTTTATGGGAAAATATGAAAGAAGCATGAGAATTGCAAAGGAATGTGTCAACTTTTTTTTCTCCATGTGGGACGACCGGAAAAAAAAATTGAACTTTGAAGCACCTGCTTTTTTCTTTTGAGGTTGCAGTGCAAAGGCGCTCTCGTTTTCCACAACGCAGAATGATTTTTAAAAATATTTTTTTTTTAGATTTTTTTATTTTTAACACAAACCATATAGTTTTGTGATGGCTGAAAATTAGTTTATTGTAAGTAATTGGAGAAATATTTTTTCATATATATATTCGAACCATGTTCCTTTTTAATGGTTTGAAAATTTTAAATTAAAACAATGGACAAACATTCTCTTATGTTGCAGTTTATATATATCTTCTGTCATAGAGACATTTACATAATGGAACCCACTACATCAAAAATAAAGAAATAACAAAAATTTTAAAAAAAAATTAGTATGGCAACAGGAGATGATTTCTCAGCAGTGATACGAGAAAATCATCTCCCTAAAACAATACGATATAAATATTTTAAGATAAAAACAAGTTTCATGTTGTAGGATAATCATCTTGTCATGTTATGGAGACAATAAGTGTGAGGTCCATCATGTTTAAAATAAAAAGAAAAAAGTGCAGCACAAATATTAATGTATGTGTAGAAAATTTTGTATTTGTCATGTTGCATGACAAATGCAAAACCCATAATTTAAAAGGAGTAGATAAAATATGGAGAATTTCTAGAGGGGAGGAGAAGTCGGGATCGAAAAGCATCAATCAGCAATGAGGAAAATCCATTTGAAAATTTAGTTTTCACCGATGAACCTAAACTCCGTCGAAATTTTCCCTGGGGTTAGGTACGTTTGTATGTCAAGCCCAACTCACCGATGAACATTTCTATGGCCCATTATTAATGAAAATAAATCCATCTCATAGCTAGATCGTCGAAAACCCATTTAACAAAATGATGCGTTCAATAAAAATCACAAATTGACAGAATTACAGACAGATAGATCTCCTACTGAATATTTCGTCAGAAAGGGCAGTCAATATTCATGCAATTAGGAATTAATCTATCATTTTTTTCGTCTCTGAGGCCATGACCGAAAGATGAATACAACCTATATCGGTGTCAAATCCTTTGTTTCATTTTCTTTTCGCAAGGAACTTGGACAAATTTGGGAATTTGAACTTTTGGGGTGTTTTTTTTTTCATTTTAGTCGTGGGTTTTCATGAACTAAATCGTATTTTTGGGGGAAGTATCTCTACAAATGCATGGAGGAGTGAGCTCTAATCATTGTGCGTATGTTACTGGGAATCATTGATAGTAGTTGTATAGGGGTGAAACTGGGCCGGGCCGGCCTATAGGGGCCCACGGCTCGGCCTATATTAGGCCATACTTGACCTAGTATAATTTGTATATTAAGTCGGGTTTGGGTCATAGAAAAGCCTATTTAATAAAAAGGTCGTAGGCTCACTTTCAAAAGGTCGGGCCTATAAGCCTACAGGCCAGTCTATATTGTACTATTTATTTTAAATAAAATAAAATAGAATAAGTATGCCTTGAAAAAAAAATAAAAGATATAAATTTAATCAATTGCAATTATTTATAACTTAATTATATTCGATTATATTTTAATAGAAATCTTACTTTATTTCTTATATATGAGGAATCAACATCTCAACATGTTTGATTGTGTATATGGATATATTAAATTTTTTTTGGGAAATGTTATACTTACTACAAGCATCATGATGTGTTTGTTGAATTCATATAGTTATTTTAATTTACATAGTATGAATTTGTTTGTTGGATCTGATGAAATATATATTATTTAGTTTGAACATTTTGTTTTTGAAAATGAATTAAATGCATATTGTATGAGTTTTGTTATGATTCATGATTCTGTTTGGACGTTGAAATTATGATTTTTGGTGTAGCAACAGAATTTGAGTACTTTGTAAAGTTGATTCATGGTTCTGCATGGAAGCTAAAAATTAACAGGCTAACGGGACAAGCCATGCCATTTATTTTTTATAAACGGGCCAAGCCAGGCTAACAGATAGACTCATACTAGGCTTGGGCCAGGCCAAATTGAAATATTTTGTCGTAGGCTTGGGCTTTTCGGGACAAAGTTTGGCCCAACGTAGCCCACTTTCACCTCTAGTGACTGAGCATTCTGCATTCAATTTTGAATGCATTTTATACCAAGAGTGGTTGTGAAGCAAGTAAATGATTTTTTATATGGTAACTTTTTCTTTTTTGTTCAATGGACAAGAAACTTAAACTTATTATAGAATCTTATTCTCTTAACCATCACTAACAGAAAGGAAGCTTAGAACAATAGCTTAACAACCAAATTAGAGGTAAGAGTAAATTTATTATTGTGTATTTTTATTCATACCATACAATTGGGCCCTAAACACATTACTATTATTATTGTGGGATGAGATATCAAATAACTCAGCTGTTTGAATTGCTCATCTAATCTAAAAATTCGAATTTTGAAATGGAATGACTCAGCTGTTTTAATTGCTTATTGCACATCTGATCTAAAATTCGAATTTTGAAATGGTTTCAAATTTTGAATTTAAAATATGGATGGTGGGAAAAGATTTGGAGAGTTTTGGGTGGCATTCATTTTGTATAAATAGAGAAGTTGTGTTTCTTATTTTTTTAGCTTGCCTACGATTTCTTTCTTCATTTCTGTTTGTAGGGTTGTTGTGTTGGTATTATTTTTTGTTTTCTTTGGCTTTATCCGATTCGTTTCATATTTTAATGGAAGGTTTCTGCAAACGTGTTAGGATTGAGGAAAGTGTTTGTTGATCTTTGCAATTCTAACTTCTTATAAACAAGACGTAAATAATCTTTACGATTCGTTTTCTTTTTTTTATACTAATTATCTTTTTTTCATTTTGTAGGGCGGAAGTTTTCATCGTATTTCATTCTGTGTGGTTCTTGCCTACGGTTTTTTTCCTTCGTTCGTATTTGTAGCGGATGTTGTATGATTATTATTTTTGTTTACCTTATAAACAAGTTGCTATGAATTCATGTTCTTTTTTTTGTATACTAATTCTCTTTTTTTCGTTTTGTAGGGCTGAAGGTTTCGTCGTATTTCATGTTGTGTGGTTCTTGCCTACATTTTTTTTTCTTTGTTCATATGTGTAGCTAATGTTATATTATTATTATTTTGTTTACTTTATAAACAAGTTGCTATGAATTAGTTTTCATTTTTTGTATACTAATTTTCTTTTTATCGTTTTGTAGGGCAGAAGGTTTCGTTGTATTTCATGCTGTGTGATTCTTGCCTACATTTTTTTTCTTCATTCATATGTGTAGCTAATGTTATATTATTATTATTTTTGTTTACTTTACAAGGAAGTTGTTATGAATTAGTTTTCATTTTTTGTATACTAATTCTCTTTTATTCATTTTCCAGGGCTGAAGGTTTCATACTATTGTGATTAGTTATTTACGTAGTAAACGCCCTGAATGCTGCGTAATGCTTTCCTACATTTTTTTTTTGCTACCAGATACAAAAATTGAATGGTAATCAATGGAATAAATGTCAACGGGTGAAGAGTTTAAAATTTATCTGCATCGAGGTCCTTCTTCTGCAAACGTGCTAGAATGGAAGAAATGATTTGTCGATCTTTGCAATACTACTACAAAAGTTGCAAGGATTTTTTAAGGCTTGCTGGGGATATTTTTTGTATTCTGCGAGTTATGGATATATTTTCTTCGTGCTTGATAATTTAAGAACGTCTCTGATGACGATTTGGGATTATTATTTTTTGCTGTTGTTGAACTATATTTAGAAATTAATCGTTGAAGTTGTTCTTGAATATTTTTAATTTGTGTGATGTTATGCTGCATCTGTGTGGTGTTCAGTTATGGTGCATGATGTTTGAATTTGTTATAATGTAAATATTGGAATTTGTTGATGTTGTTGTAAAGCCATTTGATGCTTAACAATCATGTCTTAGGCATTTTCGTTGAGGTTTAATTAATATAAATATAAAGGCTGCACTTAAACGATGTAAGATAAGATAAAATTTCAATCGTTGTCTAGTATTTAACGCTCCGTGTTTCAGTTTATTCGTGATTTCAATATCAGAAGAAGGTAAAACTTTTCAAGCTTTTTCAATTTTTGTTGAAACTGAAAACAAAAATGATTTTTATTAAAATACAATTATTATGAATCTTGGGATTTTGTTGCATGGGAAAGGATTTGGAAATAAAAAATTAAATAATAATTTCTTTTAAAAATCGAAATAAAAAATCAATGGAAAATTAAGTTAATCATTTATGGTGGCAGACAACTCATTCAATGTCCCACTGATTTGTACATTAGAATTACTCAGCTCTTTTAAATGCTTTCTACATTAGAATTGCTCACTCTTTTGAAATTCAAATTCTGAATTGATTTCAAATTTTGGATTTCAATTTCAAATTTCAAATTGGAATGGTGGGAAAGGATTTGGAAATAGAAAATTAAATAAATAATAATTTCTTTTAAAAATCGAAATAAAAATAATGGAAAATTAAGTTAATCATTTATGGTGGCAGACAACTCATTCAATGTCCCACTGATTTGTACATTAGAATTACTCAGCT